TAAGTAAATGAGCAAATTTTATTACTCACCCCTGTCTCTTATACACATCTAGATGTGTATAAGAGACAGGGGTGGGTGCGAATTTGTAGAGATTGGACCAAAATTGGAGGAGAGCGCTTAGGGGGAGGGGATCCTGCTGGGATAGAGGGGGGCGGAGCTCAGGAATTTTTGATAATTTTAGGTCTTAGTTAATCGAATTCTGAAGAAGCATATACCGTTTTCAGTGGCGGATCTAGAAATTTGAAGAGGGGAGGGGGGTTGCAGGGAGGGACTTTCACAGATGTAGGAAATACCACCTCAGCCCCACCATGGGGAGACTGAAGGAAGAAATTTTATTACCATGGCACCTTCAATATGGCCAGAAATTGCATTCTCATACAATTTGAATATCATTTTCTTTTTTCACATTTTTTTTTTTTTTTTTTTAATTTTTAAAAATTGTGGGGGAACTAGATTCAGTTGGGCTTCTTGAATCCCCCACTGTCAGTGGCGGATTTATGAATTTGATATAAAGGTGGGGGGGGGGAAGGAAAGGAATTTTACAGTTTGAGAGTCCATGACACCTCAGCCCCACCATGGTTGGGCCTGAGGTAAGAAAATTTATGATTATGGCACCTCTATAATTATGCGGAGATGGGGAGTGGGTGGCGCTTGGGGGAACCCTGCTGCTGGGATCGAGGTGGTGGAGCTCAGATTTTTGATAATTTGAGGTCATATTTAATCGATTTCTGAAAGATGCGTTCGGTTTCGGTGGCGGATCTAGGCATCTGATAGGAGTCCAGGGAGGGACTTCATAGATGGAGGAAATACCACTGTCCACATTATTTGAATTTACGTGTAAAATGGGTCCACCTTGATATTGTCCCGCAATGTTTGAAAATTTTGGCTACTATTGATTGAGAGTTGATAACACCACAGCCCCACCATCGTTGGGGCTGACGTAAGAAAATTCATTATTATGGCACCTCAAGATGGCCGGAGATGGCACTCTCATACTTAAATTTGAATATAATTTTTTTTTCTTTTTAAAAATAATCTCGACAGAGATGCGGGGGGGGGGGGGGTGCGCATCCGTCGCACCCCTGCGTACGGGCCTGTTATAATGACTGTACTCAGGGGCGGATTTGGGGGACTGGCCCCACTTCCCTAAGTTATTGACTAATAAGTGGGTCTTTTGACGAATGTATAATTATATTATAAAGGGTGAAGTAAGACATTTTCTTGCTACATGTTTTTATATTACTGATGATTATTTTCCTAGAATCGGCCGCATAGCGAAATCCCATTACATAATGCATAACGATAGCTGTAGGTAGGACCAATCTTGAATAGGAATTTAGTTCTTAATAGTGTAGTTCAGCACATGGAGAGTTGTAGCAACACAGAAGCAGGGTTACTGTAATCGCGATTTAGGATTAGATAGCAACTTGACAGCCGTCAAATCGTGAGCTCCAGCAGATTCTGTCGGGTAATCAAAGCCAGGTTACAAACCACAGGCTTGAACGTCGATGAACTGATAAAAATAAATGTTTTGAGAAACGTAAGAAGGCGACATAATAACTCATGCGGCTATTTTTCTTATCTACAGATAAATTTGTAACAAAGTAGACCTTTATGTTTTTACTTTTGTTATCGTTTTGACGGAAACCATGGAACTATAATATGTAGGTTAGGGAAATGCCTGGGTAGTAGGATGACGTGCATCGTTTTCGATTCAGATTAATTGGACAAAAACTTTCAAATTCAAAATCAACTGTTATTATTTAACCTCTCGTGGAAGGCCATAGGCCTACTGTACACAAACATAAATGATACAAATTATTGCACTATGACACAGGACAAAGCAGAATTGCAAAGGTGACGCAAATAGTTATGTAGGTCTATTTAGTAGCGATACTGTTGGAATAAACAATAATTCATATTAAAAATAATAATAATAATAATAATAATAATAATAATAATAATAATAATAATAATAATAATAATATTAAAAGTACACAGATCTTACATTTTAAAAAGTCAATATTTAAAAATAATGGTTACAAAACGAATGTATAAAACGGAAGTCGTTATTAAACTATTGAAAAATAAATGTTGATATTAAAATGGTGGACTGGTTTTTTTGTTGTTTATCTTCGGATAACGCAGTAGGCAACACAGAAACAGATTAGGGATTTAATTGTTTTGTTTTACCGCTTTGATGTTTACAGTGCATCTCACTTGTTCACTTTTGTTTTTTAGTGATTCACCGCCTGTGACGTGGGCCCGTGTAAAAGCAGGGAGTTGTTATAGTGACTATAACAACTCCCTGGTAAAAGGCCACTGTAATTTAAAACAAATCGCGTCTATTAACAAATAGCATTTAAAATCCCTAATTCATAAACGCCGGTTCTGTGTAATTGTTTTACATTGTTTATTCTTAGTCATTCTGACCCTCTTATATTATTATTGATTTAGTGTCGTAATGTCAATAATAAGTAAATGAGCAAATTTTATTACTCACCCACTGCACTACTCAGTCAGGATATTTCGGCTCCATTCCCCGGAGCCCTTTCACCTCTCTGGCTTCGTATCGTAACAATCTGTGTAAGGTTCTGTGTAAGAAATATGAATAATTTTTTGGGTCTTAAATGCGTATATAATAAGCGTCTGTTTTTATTATTTCCATCTTATTTAGTATTACAGTAGAGTCACACTTCTCAATATCAAGTTAATTTAGTTTCCGGCCTATATGGATGTCTATAAAACGAAGACCTAAGACTCATTAACGAAGACCCCTATTTTTTCTTTTTTATTTTGATGATAATACGCCAGGCTGTCACAAAATCAAAATTACGAAATTTTTGGGGCGTCTGTTTGTGAATTTTTTTAAAGGGCCTTCTTTTTATAGACACCCTATATGGGTGTCTATAAAACGAGAAGACCCGAAAAACGAATACCTCAAATTATTTCTCAATTATCTTATTGAAAGTATTTCAAAATCATCATAAAACAGTTGCCAAGTACCTATTTCAATATTACAAAAAAAAAAAAAAAAAAAAAATAGGAGTCCTCGTTTTTGGGTCTTCGGTCTTCCGTCTGGTTTGCATACCCGGGCCTATATGCAACACTTAACTCAGTATTTTATGAAATTTTATCTGACATTAATATTTTTCTCAGCTTTGAGAAGCTAATCTTCGCTCAATCATTTGGTTTACTCAGTATTTTTTGTGTGTGTGTGTTCCTTGTTCAAATGTATTTGGTAGCCTATGCCTAAACCTGCTATAAATTTGACTTGTTGGCCTACAACGTACTGTATATTGATTTTGTTAATAATAACTTTATTGTCTCTTTTTGAGGCACAGTTCTCATTGCGAAATGCAACAAAAACAATATACAAATATTTTAACAATCATACAATATGTGAACTAACATGTCATCAGAGATTTTTAACACATAAAAAGTGATTTTAAGGTGAAGAGGAAGTTATAAAAAATATAGAACAATACACATATGACATCAACTGTGTGCACTTTTTTTTATTATAAGAACACATCTTATAAGAACACTGAGGCTGAAATTGCTTAAAAATTAAGAACAAAATAAGAGCAAATTGAGGCTGAGGTAAAATGTCAAATGAGGTTTTTGAAATACCCAAAAAATTATATCTGTACCTTATGTACAGTAATGTAGGTGTGACTATGTAATACCCCCTATAATCAGGTGTACTCTCATTTGGGGCCATTTTTACCAAGCCTTTTTTCTGGGGCAATTTTTCCAGGGCATTTTTTCAGGGCCCATTTTTCTGTACAATAATAATTTTCTATGTTTGAAAAGTGTGTAAAATAAGAACAAATTAAGAACATCTTGACCCTGAAATCGGCCAAAAAATAAGAACACTGAGCCTGGGCAAAATTTTACTGGTTCTTATAAAAAAAAAAAAGGTGTAATGGATAAGGCTAACAAGTGTAAATGTCACTGGGTTCTTTCCATGCAGTAGTTAAAAATAATTTATTAAAATAGTTTTTAAAGATTTTACATGCCATTTCATAATTATTGCTGATTAAAAATTGTGTTGTTATAATTTGATACTAATTATGGATTTGAAGATCATTAAAATCATACGGTAGTATTTAAGTGTCAACGTGAGGTAAATAAGTCCCAGAATAAGTGTGTTCTAAAGGTTCTTTTAGATGACCCAAAGTCAAGTGTAAAATTAAGAAGTTACTCACTATTTATTTCTATTTTTATATTTTTGTATTTTTTCCCCCGGAATACATTTAAAATAATTATGATATAATTCCATGCAGTAGTTAAAAATACTTTCTGTAAAAGGTAACACAATCAGGCAAATCGACAAGCAACGATTACATTAATTACGAATTAATAATTTTTTTAACTACTTGACCGTGATTTATGAGGGGCGTGGAGTATGGGGGGGGGATGGGAGGGGGATTATCCCGCATCCTTTAGATACGCCACTGGTATAGGCCTATAAATAAGTAATTTTTAAGTCGTTCGAATATTGGTTTTCTAAAAATTTTAGCCTATACAATGAGAATGGGAAATCGTTTTATTTCTCCACAATTAGGCCTATGATAAACCTAGACCTATATTTTGGGCTGACCACGATTGTATTGTATTGTTATAAACCATTAAATGTGGTACCGTATAAAAGTACAGTACTACTATCCAGAAACTAAGAACGGTGCAAAACTAGAAAACCAATTTTGTCAAACGAGACATTATAGAATGATCAATGAGGGCGGGTTACCTCTAGCGCAAGAGGTCAAATATTGAATTCTCCACTCACTATCAGAATCGTATTTTATGTCATCAACATATTTTTTTATTTGCATTTCTTTAAAGGAGGTCATCATTGCTTTCATGACAAAGTGATAGTGGACTGGCATCTCTAGCATTGTATGCTTATCAGTGATTTATGAGTCGTGGCCTACAACCGCGCGACTCCATTGGGATCCCCAAGTACAGTAGGCCTAAAGAAAGGAGCTTACCTGTGATGGATCGGTATGATTTTGAATCAAATTATTTATTTCAAACACCTATTGTTAATCAAACTATGTGTTTTACTTACTGTTTTACTTTCTGTGATTAAAGTTTTTGTACACAGCCACCTTAAAAAATTTTTTTAAGAACCAAGAAAAAATACCCCCTCAAAATGAAAAGAAAAAATATTAAGCTTATTAAAGTCAGACTCCGGAGAAAAAAAATGTTTTGATATGTTGTAGAACTGATTTTTCCAAGACAGAAAAAAAATTGTTTGACGAAAAACTGGGGAACAGTGAACGAGCTACAGATTTTTGAATATTTAAAAACTGGGGGAAAAAGGGGCGTAACCACCCATTTTTACACCTTTTTCCCCCAGTTTTTAAATATTCAAAAATCTGTATCTCATTCACCGTTGCTCAGTTTTTTGTCAAACAACTTTTTTCTGTCTTAGAAAAATCAGTTCTACAACATATCAAAAATTTTTTTTCCTCCGGAGCCTGACTTTAAAACGAAATACGTAGGCCTAAGTTCTATTCAAAGGTTTGTAAGAATTGTAAGATTTATTGGTTCTCTCTTTTATAACAGAGGAACGCTCTCGCGCAGGAGAGGTTCGACCCGTACAACAGTTACAAAACAACAACTGACAATATATAAAAATGAATTATTGAAAAGATAAATAAGTAAAGAAAAAATACTGGACAAACAAAACAAATGTTACTCTCATTATTCTGTAGTAACTAAGGAATAACTTAATGTACAAAAAAAAGAAAAGAAAAAAAGAAAAAAAAATAGAGAATTAAATTACAGAATATAAAGTAAATAAATAAATAAAATGACAAAAAATATAAGTTTATAAGTACAGTAAATAACATAAAAATTAAATATTGGTGGTAATGTTTTTCATTAGTTCAGTTCTTTCAGTCATTGCTTTTCTTTAATATGTTTTACAATGGTTATCAAATACGGTATGTTACAATATGTTATATTCTCGAAAATGTTATTTTAATACCTGAGTTTTATCATTATTATATATTAATGCTTCTCCATGCAAATCTTCAAACAATATCATTATTATTAATATATGCTTTTATGTGACGCATTTAAAGGATTGATTCTATTCAAAAATGAAAAAAATCTATTAATCTTATTAAAACGAAATAGTTACATAGGCCAAAGTTCTATTCAGGGGACACAGGTATAAAGGAACACTTTTTATTATAGTCAAGAAGGTGTTTTCTTAACAGGGGTTTTACAGTTTTAGCATTATTATTAATATTTGTTGGTGTGATGCATTTAAAGGTTATCCGAAACATGGCATAGTGAAAGTGTCCACCAAGCAGTTTAAAACGAAGAATAAATATCCCTAGCATAATGATTATTAAAAATAACTAACGGTTTATATTGATATTCAAGATTGTTGAATTTAATCGAGACATGTATATTCTTAACGAATGCCAGCGTCCTGTTAGCGTGTGAAAGCTCTGTTGGATAAACAATGTTTTTGACTAGAAGGAAACAAAAGCTCGGATAGTAAAGGAATAAACTTTAAAGTTAAAAAGGCGTTAATGAGCTGTCCAGTGTAATATATCCAGAGATACAAACAAGTTGGATTAGCCATTTAAAAGCGTGGGATCGTATAGATATAGCCATCGTTGCATTTAATCGGTTTATTTAGAATATCAGTTATTGTTTATATTTAACGTTTGTAGAGTTCCGACAGTTTACGGTAGAGTATAGTTTACCATGGAGGAGTTTAGTTTAGAGTTTGACTTGCCACAAGTCTCTTAGTATTTTTATTATTTTTCTCATTATGGACAGCGCCACCAACGAGAAAGTTAAGATAAGATAAGATAAGATTTATTGGTTCTCTTTTATAACAGAGGAACACTCTCGCGCAGGAGAGGTTCGACCCTTACAACAGTTACAAAACAACAACTGACAATATATAAAAATGAATTATTGAAAAGATAAATGAGTAAAGAAAAAATACTGGACAAACAAAACAAATACTCTCATTATTCTGTAGTAATTAAGGAATAACTTAAGTAAAGTAAATAAATAAATAAAAATGACAAAAAATATAAGTTTATAAGTACAGTAAATAACGTAAAAATTAAATATTGGTGGTAATGTTTTTCATTAGTTCAGTTCTTTCAGTCATAATGATTATAATAATAATAAGTTAATTTACAGACGGAATAATCCAGGGGAAAAAAAAGAAGTCGAGTATGGGACGCCAATTAAATTAGGTATGGCGCGCACTAAGTGCAATAAAGAGTGAGTAACCCAAAATTAGGGCCTGGAACCCAGGCTAGTTTAGAGTATAATAACTGTCAGTGACAACTTTATCAGGGGTGGATTTGAATCTTCCTAAAATTTACCGTGATTTTACCAACATGCATATTTTTTCATGAATTTTAAATAATAACCTATAGTAAGTTGGCCTAAAGTTAAAACTTTGTTAATTCAACCTAACGAAAATTCCTGGATCCCCAAATGAATGCATTTAATTTATTAATATAATTATAATTTACTGTCAAATAGGCATACTGTAGTAAGTAGTATATAGGCCTATTTATAGTTTAATTTTTTAATTGAATTTTATATATAGTCTTATTATCATTAATGTAATAATCATATCATTATCAATATCATCATTTTTATAATCATCACCACCATCATCATCATATTAAAATGTTATATAATTATCATAAATTGCTTTAAAAATTGTTCAAAAGGTTTAAACACAGTATCAACTAATATTTATTCTAAAAAAAGTGCTATTCAATAATTAACTTGCAAGTTTATTCTTACAATATTTATCTAAAGATTAGCTGTTAAAAATCAACTTTCACAACGTCCTGTTGGATAGAAAAAATATTAGTTTAAAAGAAAAACAGCAATGAGACCATATTTACCGTGGTAATTCTCTTTTTCAAGGGCCATTTTCATCATGGAAAGTATTTTCCCTTTACATTGTAAATTTTTTTTAAATGTATATTTATTAAATCATTGTCATAAAACCTTAACCAACGCTTATTTTTGTGACCATTTTCTGCCACATAAAGAGGGCACCTTCTCTTAAACTTAAACTTTTTTATTTTATTTTGGCCTTGCATATATAATTCAAACGTATTTAATTGCTTCTTCAGTTGGTATTGTGTTTTTTTGTTTTTTTTTGTGCTGTCACATAAACATTTATTGTTTTTTTAAGATACGGTATTTTATTTCGTGTAGCCTATATTTGTAGTGTTTATATTAGTCCTATGCATCTATTTGTACAGGTTTTTAGTGGAAAAGCGTTTCTCCATAATTATTAGATAATGATGATATAGCGAAATAATCGCTCTTGTCACAAGTTGACTCGCATTAGGCTATTAAAATATTTAGAGAAAGTATTGATCAATGACACTGTAAATAGGAAATATAATAACATTACCACTTCAACACCTTCAACCCAGTCCCAAATCAAATCAATTTTTATTGTCCAAAATAACAGAATGTATAGTGGAAATTATTCGTCTTTAGATACAAACAAACGTGAACAAATCGCTCAATCAACAACAAAAAATTACACAATCAAAATGTCAAAAAATGAAAAGAAAGCAAAACTTCAATAAGGCCTATATTTGATTAAAGATTATAAAAATACAATTAGAATAATAAATAATAATACAATTTAATTATTAGGAGTGTCCCTGAATAGGGGTACTCCTATTAAGAGGACACTAACTAAAATCGTGAAATTGTACCCTTAATAGGGTTTTTTTACAGGTTGCCGTGGCCTTTAGCAGCTTTAGTCTTTAATTAGAATAATGAAGATAAAAGACATCAGTAAATTTGGAACCACAGTAAAGTGGTCTTTAATTGGGGGTGATCTTTAAAGAGTGGTCTTTAATTAGAGGGAGAACTGTAATTATGAAACCCATGCAATAATATATGAATGTAAGGATAAATTTACTTAATAAATTATCTATTGTGTTTTGTTTACCGTTTCTTTTCACAAATTTAGTATTTATATTGCAGAAATGAAGCACAACTATTGTTGAATGTGTTTACCTTTTGTTCTGTTAAGAAACATTGTACCAATCAACAGCTTCCAAGGATCATGGAATAACGATTCTTGTATGAGATTATAAGGCGATTTTGGAGGTGTCCAAAGAACTCGCTGGTTGGAACTCGTTTGAATTGGTTGTTTCTTAAAGTATGGTGATCTCTTTCTTGTTGTCATATTACTTTTCAAGTATCTCTTTACAGCACTCACAGCTTTCTCATGTCGATGGAGGGATTTAGTCGAAACTGATGGTTCATGTTCACTTGCTTTCATCTTCTTTTGCAAAACTCCATCGCTGGTAGAAGATGTCTTTCTTTTTCCATTATTCTTGTGTAAAGGGCTTGAGTGCAGGGTGCCCTGTCCCTTTGCTGCGGTACCTATAAAAGAAACTTGGTACTCAAATTAATAAAGTGCTAAGATAATACAGTACATAATGTTATACCTTCCTATAACTGAATTGGAGTCTAGCAAGTTAAGGTACTGTAAAGTTTTCGAGCTGTTTTTAGAATATTCTCTCTTTTTTTTTTAAATATTTCAATGTGCCGGAATTTTTTCTAAACATAAAATAGTTAATTTATGAATGTGTGGCAGTGGTACTAAAGTATAAGAATAACAAATACAAAATAATTTGATGTACAGTACTTTTTAAAAAGATGTAATGCTAATAGAACAGTCATCTCCAGCCACATACATATCTTGCAATTAAATCAATCAGTAAAAAAAGTATTAATCATACATTAAATAAGGAACATGTACATGTTCTTTGCACTATATGTCTGTTGCAATTTGATTTTTTTTTGTCTTAAATGTTAATGTTTTTAAATTTGAAAAGCTGTATCAACCAACAGTTCTTTGTATGTTTTTATATGAGGACAAAACAACATTTCTTGCATCTTATGAAATGATTATTTCAAAAGTTAAATACAGTAGCTGTATAAACAGTAGACCGTTACTGTACCTGTTT